AGCAGTCCCTTTTTTCTTTTAACGTCTTTATTTTATTAATGCTGCCAAGAATAAGCTCTTGTCAACAACGCAGAGCTTAGTACTTTCTATTACTTTCTAATATTCCAAAGCCCAGCGTTAACATTAGCAGCCTTAAAAATTTTAAATATTATGGTATTCAAACCGCTACACTCTTCAAGAGCTTTAAAACTATGAGTTCTATATACACTGTTAGAAGTGAAGGTTCTGTGCAGGTACATGTTTTTCGTTTATCAAGGTACAAACAATGTAAATGTACCTCAAAGGTACAACAGTGGTTTTAAGGTCCAATTGTGCACCTTAAATAAATTTTTCCCAGGTTAAAAGTACATATTTGTACTTTTTCATAGTCTAATGTTTTAAAACAGAACAATAAAATAAAAAGCCTGGAGACGAGACGGGGTGTGTGGAGTCAATACAACTTCATTTCAATGGATTATGGTACAGTTATGTTCCCTGCCTAAAGGTACTGAGATGTACCGTTGAGGTTACCACCCCAGTGACAGTTTAGTACCTTTATTTCTAAGAATGTAGAAGCGCTTCATGCTTAAAAGGCTCTTTGTATGGTGAAATGGTTCTTCAGATTGATGGGAATGTCTTGTATATGGTTCTACATAGCGCCAGCAAGGGTTCTTGTAATGGTTCATGCAAAGAATAATCATGTTGGTGCTATATAGAATCATTTTCTATATAAATAATTCTAAAACGGTTCAATACAGCACGAAAAATCGTTCTTGTACCAATAGCAGAACCCTTTTTGGTGCTATATTGAACATTTTCAAAAAGGTTCTATATAGACTCATATATAACACACTCTCCATCAATCTGAAGAAAAAATTCACCATGAAAAGAACCATTTTAGCATGAAATGGTTCTATACAGAGCTCATGGCTCTAAAAAGACTCATTCCCTTTACTAAAGAACCCTTGAAGAATCATCTTTTTAAGAGTGTACAATACCAATGACTACAAGGAGTCTAAACTCAGCCAAAGTTCATTGTTTCACTGATATAGTCTCTTCGTCAGCCACAACGGTGGCAGCATTTTTATTGGAATGCTTATGAGTTAACAGCGAAAACAGTGAGATTGAAATAATGTCTGTCTTTTGAGTAATCATATTTAACTTCAAGCTACGGGAGAAAACTGATGGAGTGGAAAACAGTGCTGCTGCAGCATCAGTGCAGGAACCCTTCACCTAAAGGAGGAGCTGCTGAGCTGAGGCGCTGATTCAGAGAATAAGAGGATACCTGCCATTTACTTTCAGCTGTGGATTACAGATGGTGCCCTATGCTGTGCTAGATACAAGCTGTGTCCATAAACCTGCCCTTTAGCCATAAAATACAATCTGTGCCTGGTTTGGAGGAGCTCCCTCAGCTGAACTACGCATGTTCTTCTTCAGTAACATTGACGGAATATACTTTGATGGAAATATGATGCACAAAACCGAAAGTGAACTGCTCTGTAAAAATGTCTCATCAGATCAAACTAAAAAAATACTTCATGTAGTAAGAGGCAATAGGCCCTTTTCCAAGAAACGGAAGCGTGTAAACACTATTAATATGTGAAAGATAATCTGTCACAATTTAACCTCATAAAATCATAAAACTAAACACTGTATAATCAGAACTGTTTTTGAATTTGCTGATGTTTTCTCTGTTAACTTTTATCATGATATTGCAGCACTAATAGAGTCAAAAATCTGAATACTGGAGGTCAGGTGACATGCTTTATCGATTTTTGAAATATAAATAAGTTAGCACACCCTCTACAAAGAACACTCATGAGTATGGCATTATTTTTTGCAAGATTTTAGTGCACAATTTCTATTTATTTGCTAAATATAATATATTAGAAAATCTAAAATGTGCCATAACTTCTGCACAGGACACATTTCATGTTTTTATTTTTCCCCAATATGTTTAAAATCAGCAAAAAAGAGCAACTGTGCATTAAAATGTGCAGAATTGTGTTTTCTGTAGAGGTCATTTAACCAAACTTTGGCATACGACTGTATAATCATGTCACCCACCCTTAAAATCCCACACATTTTATTACATGCTTATTATACAACATTTACATGGACTACAATGCAAACTGGCTGAGTTATTCCTCAGATATAGAAGTGTTGAATAAACGTTTGGCATTTCAGAGGTTAATCCAAGTGTCTAGATTCTTCAAATCAAAGCATAAAAAAGCTGTCAATGTCCAAAGTTTTGCTAAAAGTTCCCACATGCTAACAAGGTCCCAAACACTTATTGTGACCTCTTTATTATTCTCATTCTCGTTCTTTCTTTTCCGCTGGTGGCCTTCAAAGTTCAAAGAGCACAAAAAGGATCCGCTCTCATAATTATAGCAACATATGTATAAACAATTTGCATCACTTTTATGTCTTAGACAGGCCAGATGGCTAATCTATATGACCACTGACTAGCGTGAGATGACATGCATTGTCATAGTTTGTTTATAACGTTTTAAAGGAGGCCTAATGACTGTTAGCATCAAAGGCTTCTTCCCACCAGCTGTTCCATAGCTCGGGGAAAACTTTCAGAGAGAATACTGAAAGATAAGAGATGAGGGCCAGATAAAAGATGGATAAAGTTGGCTTGCTAACAGCCCTGTGAATTTGTCTCCTCTCTTCTTCCCCCCCTTTTTTGTACTTCGTCAATGTAAAAAGTGCAGCATGTTTCGAGAAATAGCCAAAACATGTGTCCTCACCAAGAACGTACATGGAGAACATAATGGAGGACATTAGCATCTTTCAATACAACAGCTGCTCCATGTGTGCGCTCCTTACTGACGTAACCTGGAGCGGCGCCACCTCCACAGGTGAAGCGGAATGCTAATTTCAACCTTCATTTCTCTTTAGATAACCCCTTAGCTAGCTGGAGAACAAAGTCCGCAGATGGCTCTGCTTTATCACGGCGGCTAGACAGCGATTTTCTTCTCCGAAGCACCAATGTCAATACAGCAGGTGTGCGTGTGAATAAAATCTTAAATACCTGAAGATCTCAACTGAGCTATGAAGCGAAGAAACTTGAAAGTATATTTGACAGACAAAGTAATTACCCAAATCCATACAGACATAATGATCTCTTCGGGGAAAGAAGGATGAAGTCACGTCTCTGGGAAGCATCTGAATAGTGGGATTTTCACGTTGGTTCTCCAAACCCAAACACCGAGACTTTTCATGCCCGGCTCTGCGGGAGCTGAAAGCAATACAAGAGGAGACTAAAACTGCAGTTGTGTCTGTTTTTTTAGTCCTCTTTTAATCTGACAGACAGCGGCCGTTGGAGTAGATGATACATCTAGCAAGAGCACAATTACTGCACACTTGCCTGATAAATTGGTTTCCTCCCGTGCTGTGTCTCTTTTCTCACTATTGTAGCGCAGTGCTAACTGTCAAATACTTATCTCTGCCTCATGGTGAGGGGCTAGAGCAATTAAATACCCACCCAGCCACTTATTTCACCGAATGTTACTCCTGCATGCTCTTGAATTTCAGGGCAAATTTTGAACTAGCATAAAGTATCAATTGAAAATTTGGATATTCCCACTCATAAAGGTTTAATGGGAAGCTCTTCATTGACCTAGCTTGTAAATCACTCACTTGTGCACTCACATTGACCAGGCTGAACACAAGGGGGTGCTATAAGAAGATTTTGGTGATACAAAGGAGGGGTGCTTCATATCACTGATCTGACTGATCTATCTATCTATCTCGTCATAGCATACCGTCGCTGTCCAATGAGAAACATGTATCTCCATTTTTTTGTGATTATTACTTTTCTGCATCATTTGAGTTCAGCTGATGTTCTTTACATTGTGTGAAAATTTCATGATGATTGAACCAATAGAAATGCTCCAAAATTGCTTAGAATAAAATATTTTTCCATTAACTTACATTGAAAGTAAAGAACATTTTTGCCCTCTCCTGTAAAGTTACTATTTTGGAGATACCTGTTTTTCTTCGGACAGCGACGATATGTGAAATATGAATGAATAGAACTCGACTACAAACAATAATGACTAGCTCTAAACACATTAACCAAGACCTTTCACAAATGTGTGAATGTGATAATATTCATATATAATCGTGGTCCAAACTTATAATGTCAATCAAGTTCAAAATGAAAACTACTTCTTTGGAAAGTAAGAAGGAAACTGATGTAGAGGCATCAACTGTACTGCTTTATATTTGTCTTCAAAGACAAAAAAAGATCATAAGTGCAGGCCTTTAGATGTAAACGTCTTTAAGATAATTCCAAATATACATTCAATTAATTACATGAAAATTTTTACTGTTTTTAGAAAAACAATTTTGAAACATCATAGCATCTGATTTAGGTAGTGGTCTAGCCTTTGCTGCTGGTTTCTAGTTTGGTGTTAGCTTTCTTTTAGTCCTTAATCAATGGTCAGTTTCTCACGACAAAACACAAGAGAATGATCTACAACCCAAATAATATCTGATCAGTGGTGGACCTTTTGTGACCCCTTTCCACTGATGAAATGGGGTCAACGGGGTCTGATCAATTTTACAACAACAGATGGACTGTATGTAGTATTTGAAAGCCTATATAGTGCACTCTTTAAAAAGATGTTTCTTCAAGGGTTCTTTTGTAAAGGCAATGGTTCTACATAGCACCCAAAAGAGTTTTACCATTGTATACAAGCTTGACATCATAACCTTCTTGGTGCTTTGTAGAACAGTTTTCAAAAACTTTTTATATAGAACCATCTACAAAACATTCTCCATCAACCTAAATGGTTCTTTGTGTGTTCATGGTTCTGTATAAAACCACTGTCTTTACTAAAGAACCCTTTGAAGAACCATCTTTTTTTTAAGAATGTGAACCTATAAAGTAGGTGTTTCTGATAAAATAATCAATGTGTATAAAAAGAGTTTTTTAAAAAAAACTAGCAACTCAGACCCAAGCGATAAAACCCATTAGAAGAAGTAAGATGTCTAGATGGACTCCCGCCTACCTTGCAGGTGGAGTTTGCTCTCTGGGCTTTGGAGGAGTACGGAGCTGACAGAGTCCAGGTTGTCGTAGGTGCTGCAGCCGAGAGGGCCGGTTCGCGTCTCCGTCACCTACAGACACACAAACACAACCACATCTGATAAGGACGGACTGTGGGAGGAGCTACAAGTCTTATAGAACATCAGTAGTACTGGAATGTAAATAGACTATGAGGGCAAATCATGTGATTTTCAATAGAGTGAACAGTTTCTAATTTTCATCACCAGCATCAAGTCAGAGCAACGCTGTCTCCAGGTTCCAACCGATGAGTGTCTATATTATATTTAGATAGTCAGTAGTTCAACTCTACGTGATTGTAGCCTCTCGCTCTTGTTCATATAGCTTGTTACGGTGGAGGCTCTTGAGGGGAACTGAAGCTCCACCAAGGTGTCGGTTTTGTTAGTTTGCTGCTTGTTGATTTATTCATAGTTCTTCCACAAGCACTGTCAGCTGTAGTCTGCTAAAGGTGCTAAAGATTTCCCTTTAAAAGTGATCTAAATGTCATTTTAAGTGAAAGAGAGAGCTACAATTTCAGATTATATTGACACAACATGCCTTAGCCTGCACTATTGTTCAAACGATCCAACTAGAAAAATGTAGCATTACAGCATTTAAAAATGAGTGGTGTTAATAATTTTTTACATTAATGAGTTATTAATTAATTAGTTAGATATTAATGTCTTAAAACATGTTAACTTTGATCAATTTATAATTCTAATTCAGCATGTCGTTACTGGTTTTCAACACATTAATGCCTAAATAGACTTACTTACAAGCAAACAATATCACACGTCTAAATATTAGTGTGTAGTGACCAGTGCTAGATTGGGAATAAATCTCAAGCCATGCATTGTAGTTCTTTGTTGTGATGTCATCACCTATCAGCATGAATAAATTTCAGGTGTTTAAGCTAGCTTTGGGCCAAAAGAAATCACCCCCTCAACTGGAAATTCCTTCTTGGAAAGTTGGGAAAGTGTCTTCAACTCTGAGTTCTGCGTCTATACTACACAGATACTATCCATCCATCCATCCATCATCTAAACCGCTTATCCTTCTGGGTCACGGTGGGGTGCTGGAGCCTATCCCAGCTGTCATTGGGCGGAACGCAGGATACACCCTGGACAGGTCGCCAGTCCATCGCAGGGCAACACAGAACGTCCCAGATGCCGCACTGAAACGGCGCGGTATTTAGACAACAGAACAGGGCCCAAATTTTTTCGCGGCAAAATTTTCTTTAAATTGAAAATAATTCATGCCGAAATACTCACTCAAACATTTCGTGCTGCAAACAGATTTCCCAGTTGATCTACCAGGCGTGGAAATTTTGCCTAATCACAGGTCAGAATGCTGTCGAGGGCAAACAAACGTACCGTGCACTTTTATAAATTATATTTATATATATATAATGTTGGCAGAGTGACTGATGTGACCATTTATCTGTCTGGAAACAAGGATGTCTGTATATCTTTCTTACTGTTCTGCTCTGCACAAACTCTGTACGTATGAAAGGCCAGTACGTTCAAGCTGTAGTGCTCACGCTGCCGCGATGCTCACACCATGCAGACGTGAATAAGGCCTAACTGTGAGCAAACTGTACCCAAACTTCTGATGAGCAGAGTGTATAAGTATAAACGGTAGTACGGCGTAGTTTAGATGTGTTTCGTTAGCCGAATTGATGTTGATCCTCATTAATATGAATGATAACTCCGTGTTACTGGCATGTGAAGCCAAAGGAGCCAACCGTTCCTTGTAAATCATGCTGTTCACGTCTGTGCTTTATGATGAAGGTGAACAGAGCCTTCCTTACGACTCTAGAGAGCTTTCAAAACACAAGTTTCTAAGTGCCCGCTTTCACATTCAGCATGACGGGCCCCACTGGCTTCAAAGCAGCCTTTACCTTTTAAGGACCTTTAGAGACTTTATTTCCTCTTAGAAAAAGGTGAAGTGCTAATGGCCTTTTCTTCAAACAGCTTGACTTCTTCACGGAGCTGGAGCTCGAGTTGCTAACCAAACTTTTAGTCAGTGGGTTAATGAGATCATTCAAACGTTATGCTAGTCTCTGTTTAGCATTTACTTTCACGGGGAGGATCCTGACAGAATGACTTTCCGCCGCTTCCTCAATTAAGGGCTGACCATCGCCGTCTCGGAGGATGCCGCTTATAATCGTCTGAAAGGAAAGAGCTAAAAACCTTGACATTTATCAAACCAGATGCTCTTTTTTCTGTACTTTCCCAGAGCAAATTCCTGTCAGACCACAGCAGAACCACCTCGGTTTCATTCTAAAGTAAAGGCGCTCAGCCGTCAGACAAAGTCATCTAATTAAAAACGATTCTCATTATAGTTAATTTACAAAGCCATATCAGGGATCATGGATCGCTGAGCATATTTTTGATAGCTGGGGTGCTTCTCACACCTACACACTCACTCCACCACCACCACCACCACTAATACAAAGCTTATTTGAACTTGCACAAAGAAGATGGTTTGAAGAAATGATACTTATTTCTTTCCTGGAACACTCAAATATTGTATTGTCTAATGGAAACCAGGTTTGTGAGACATTCTTTTTGGATCAAGTAGCAGTTCAATAACTAATCTAACACTTATTTTACAGGCATGTGAAAGGTTTATTGATGTCGCTTGAGGCAAAAAAAAAGATTATTTAGTTCTTTTTATCTAGTTTCTTGGGGATAAACGTCTAGTTGAAGCTATAAAGAAAGTTCTCCAGCCTTCTCTGTTGCTAGCTAGCTCAACATTATAGCACAACACAGGCTACTTAGTGTTAGCAATGAACAGATACAAATAGAAGTGGAAATCTTTAGATCCAAAGGTAAGGAGTGATTGAAAAACTATGTTTGAACTGTTGGAACCACTTGATTAGGATTGGGGAATGCTTCAAATTAATTAATTAATTAGGTCATAAACACCTTAGAATCATTAATAAGCTGCCATAAAATGTGCAACAGAAGTTTGTGAATTAACTTTTAGTTGGCTTGACAATGCCATCCTATGAAATACCAAGGTATTGCTAGGTTATAGCTATGTTATCCCAGGTGGTTGCTAAGGCATTGCTAGGCCATTGTGATGGTATTCCAGGTGGTTGCTAAGGTGTTTGCAGGCCATTGCTGTGTTATCCCAGGTGGTTGCTAAGGTGTTTGCAGGCCATTGCTATGTTATCCCAGGTGGTTGCTAAGGTGTTGCTAGGCCATTGATGTTGTCCCATGTGGTTGCTAAGGTGTTGCTAGGCCATTGCTATGTTATCCCAGGTGGTTGCTAAGGTGTCGCTAGGCCACTGATGGTATACCAAGTGGTTGCTAAGGTATTGCTAGACCATTGCTATGTTGTCCCAGGTGGTTGCTAAGGTATTGCTAGGCCATTGTGATGGTATTCCAGGCAGTTGCTAAGGTGTTTGCAGGTCATTGCTGTGTTATCCCAGGTGGTTGCTAAGGTGTTCGCAGGCCATTGCTATGTTATCCTATGGGGTTGCTAACATTTTTTTAAACCATTGCTCTGTTAGCCCAGGTGGTTGCTAAGGTTTTGCTAGGCCACTTTTATCCCATGTGGCTGCTAAGGTGTTCCCAGGCCCTTGCTAGGCCATTGCTGTGGTATCCCAGGATTCTACTAAAGTATTGCTAGAGTATTGCTCTATTGTCCCAGGTTCCACTCTGTTAATTTTGTCTGGCTAACACGAAGCATGTTACACCAGCTTTGACCACCAGGCGTTTGGCAACAAAACGGATTAACAGATTAAAATGCTAAATGAAAATAAACACTAATGAAAAATTAAAGCGCAATAGCTCTCGAATGAACATTCTGCAAAGCAACAGCAGCTATGAAAGAATGTATTTGTGGACAGAGTATTGACAGGTCAATTTAAGGGTCCCCTGGTCAGTTTTACTGTTTATCCTTTGACTTTCCAGAGTGTGTGGCTATTGTTTTTGCACAAGGCTTAATCTATGCTCCACTGGGCATGGCGTCTATCCTCCCTGCCTCGTCCGGCTTTGTTGTTGATGTTGTTAGCGTTAGCTCCTATCAGGGTCATCTGATTCAAAGTGACACCGAGCTGAAACTGTGGCACACTACTGGCCTGCTCTGCATCGCCCGCGGACAAGCATAAACAGTACAAGGTGTATGTGACAAGTCAACCTGTATCAACATAATACAGTGCAGAATGACCATTTTTTTCTGTCCCCATTATGAGGAGCACCAGAGAACAGAACAGAAAAGAAAGCGAGGAGAGAGACCAGGCTCTGGCTAGACGAGTAGCACAGCCCCTCTATGTGAAAGCCGTCTGTGGATAAAGCCCTTCTGTAATGGGCATAATCCTTTAAATCTGAGGCCTCCAGAGAATGCCGGACACATGGACGCACACACGCAAAGACGGGCACTAAATGGTCAGTCAGATTAAAGGACAGATACAAAAAGAAAATCTGAGTCCTCAGACAAATCAATAGAGATTTTAGGTGATTAAGATTTTGCCCAGCCACAAACCTCAAAAGACTATTTCAACTCAGATAACCTGAAAAAGCAGTTTACTATTCACAAAAGCCATGTTAAACAAGTCTAGTTAAGCCAGAGTGACCAATAACTAATATAAAATGATTACAATCCTACAATCTGACTGGCCAAGCCAATATATACTTATAGATCATATCTTTTATATCTTTTATATACTAGATAAGTAGATACTTTATACTTTGTAGTTATGATATAGTATGTAATAATAGATATGTAGTTATATTCTAATAAATGGTGGAAGGAGGAAAAAACTTACTTTGCTTTTAATGTAAGTCAGTGGAAGCTGAATTCTTTCCAAATCATTTTGGGCCGTTTCTTTTAGTACATTCATCATGAAATGTACACACAATGCAAAGGACAACAGGCATTTTCAATTGATGTCAAAAACTGAAAATAGAGAAAAAAAACGTTTTTTGCAGCTTATTTTTAGTTTCAGTTTTAGTACTATGGTAAAAGTTTTATTGAGACATAATAAAAGTAATAATATATCCAAATAAAGTGTTGCTGACAAAGCTTGCTGGTTTCTATCCAACCCAGAAGCAGGTGCCAGATA